ACAAAAACTATTCACTTGACTCTGAAGATGACTTCCGCTCAGGTTGTTCTTTTCAGAACTACCCTCACCCGGACGATCACACTATACGAACTACTGATACTCCTGGGTTCAAACCATTTACTACGAAACTTCACTGAAAAGTTACAAAATTGAAAAACAACGTTACGCTAATCCTGGATTAGCTTAATCGTGCTTTGAACGACCCGACTCAGGTAATAAGTTGGGCTGATTACGTGTCATCTTTCATGAACCGCGATGGTCGGTTGTGATTGGTGGATTTTGATCGTCACATTTCCAGTCAAAATTTCGACGATGTCGTTCTGTTGCTCTGTTTCTTGATACTTTAATAAAGGCAGTCGGGAGTCGAAACGTCGAGATCTACATCTCAGGTGGCTATATTTTACCCGACCACGACGAGGAACTGAAAACTGACAATTTCTCATTCTGAGAGGAAATCGTATCCAGTAGGCTACGAGTAGTCCCTCTTTTGCTTAGTCCGTCGTGCGTAACGCGAAAGAAAACCGCGAGAAAAAAGATGCGCGGCCATTTTTTTCTCGCGGTTTTCTTTCGCGTCACGCACGACGGACTAAGCGAAAGAGGGACTACTCGTAGTCTACAGATCTAGAGTCAAGGGAGTCATTTTTATATTTTCCCTTCAAATTCCGAGTTACAGTTATGAATGGAATATACTCTAGTCAAACAACAACAACAACAACAGGCTTTTAACAAAAATATTTTTACAAAGTTAAAGGGGAAATAAAGATTTTTGTTGTTGTTTATAACACTACAGTATCCTGAAAATAGGTGTGAAAAAGCTGAGCTACACGCCAGCTTCCCTCTCTTCATCTATTTTCACAATAGACGTCAATCGAGTTACGTTCGATTCGTTATCTTTTACAGCTGCTATCAACAGAAATGCCATAACCTCTTATTTATCAGCTCGTATCGAAAGACAACTGACGCTTTGTGGATCTTTGTAGAAATTTAATGACCAGAAACACGCGTGAGAACCCAGAATGTGTGACACACCCACAATACCCAAGCCAGTATGAAGTATTTCTCTCACGCCCCAAGCTTATGGTGTAAATTTCAATAAAACGTTTGTTGCCTATAGTCGAGATAAGTGTGACTCCAAAACCTACAAAAACCAACTTCCCTCCAACAAACGTCTCCCGGCCGTTTTGTTTTATCCAGCCAAGCCGATGCTTATCTCTTGTTTGCGTGGCATGAAGCGACTAGGAGTATTTCTACTCCCCTGGATAGGTTACTGGTCTATTGCAGGGTTGCCCCCAGCATTAAATCTGCCAGTACTCGTTCATACAATCATGCAACCACCGACCGGCTCCACAGTTCGTCTTATTTACTATTTATTTATTTTCTTTTGTTTTGTTTGTTTGTTTGTTCTTTTTTTGAGAGAGAGAGTCGAGCCCATGAATTCGAGCTAATACGGTTGAAACAGCCAATTTCTGGTTTGTAACTTGAGCAATTAATAATTAAAGTACTTGTCCGGTTCCGAATAAGCACTCTCTCTTAATGGCCTGCATACATTTCCCTCCCGCACACAAACACAGGAAGTCTGGCCCGAGCGGAAGCGCTAGACCGGAACAATCCCTTGCGGGCTTGCAGATGTTGTCTTTGAGAGCCGTAAAGCAATATGGCGGCTAATGCAATGGAAACCGATGAACTAGGCCATTTACCTTCGAGTACGTTACGGAGATCGAATTCTGCGCCTAATGTTAGTGCTGCTGTGGTAAGCGATCCTATTCCCATATTTCAGCCACTACAGACTGCAAGGCAGCGACGTTTCTCTACAAGTCAAATGGCTGTGAATGTTGTGAGTAAAAAATTCCGCGAACAAATGTCAAATTTATAACTTCTTTTAGGCTTGCTTTTGTATCTCTTATCGCCGATTTGTGCTTTTCTTTCTCAGGGATCTCCTGCGTCAAGAATAGCACAGATCAAAAGGGTATAGTGTTCCTTTTCGTTTTTGTTGTAAAAATACAAGCTTAGTTTATTGCGACAAGTTTATTCAATGTTATGTTTTCTCATGCCGAGTTTTTCCTAACCTGACATTGCCTCCAGCAGACGATAACAACTTTTGAAGTATTATATTACCACTGTAACAACTCAACTTGATTTTAAGATGGTGAAATCGAAAGCCGTTAAAAGAATCATTGCTTTATCATTCAACGATTTTAGGAAGAAAGCATGGACGATGCCAGTCGTGAAAGACAAGTAGAAAGGTGAGTGTTGAAAATGCCGACCGGTTCTTATTTTCAATTAATTTAGAATGAAGACTAGTATACGGGCAGGTTCCTATGAGGAATTCTAGATAATTTGTTGAAAATGCCTGAATTTCCTAAGACAGTGCTGGGTTTGAATGCCTTGTAGTATTAAGATCGTCTATTTTTAAACTGGTACAGGATTTCGAGATACCAGAAGCTAGCTTAGTGTCTAGTCACGAATCAGATATCTTTTGAAAGCTTTACAAGTGGTCTCATTATGCTTCCAGGATTCTTTTCGTGTTTGTATTAAGGTATCATGTTACATATCTCTAAAGAAAATATTTTAAAAATACTTGAACCAGATGGTAAATACACGGCCGTATTATTTTGGGACATCATTGACGTACAACAGTGAGATACTGAAATTGGTTATTTAAGGAACATTAAACTTCAAATTGATACAGAGTTGATGCTCCAACTTTTTATAATCTGGACTCTAAATTGTGCCCTAATTTATAGCCTTTCAGATATTGCTGAAAATTAACTTTATTTATCAGTTTTTGAGCAGCTCTTAGTTTTCCATAATATGGCTATTTTATGTAAAACTTATTGCTTAGTGGTTCAAACAGGCTAGACCACCTTGGTGCAAAAATAATTGAAATAATTTCCATATGAAATAAAAGTTATTTTTGACTGTATATGTCTAGACATATATACATGGAAATTGCATCGTAATGGTACTCTGAGGAACTAATTTACCATTTGCCATTATTCTTAAAATAAAGGTTTTTAAAACTGGCTTAGTCACATTTTTCCTCTCATTTTTTTTTTTTGTCGTACTTTATCATCATCTTTAACAATCCTCTCAGAAATCCAAATTGCTTTGTCTTTGTTTTATATATCCTGAGAAAGTTGTGAAAAATGAAAGGTGAATGATGAAAAGGAAAATATCTTGTACAGCACTAGCCACTGATACTTGCAGGCAAAGTCATGTGAATTTTGGATCAGCTGTAAATCTGAATATGTCTGCCACAAGGAGCCTACGCAAGTAGAAATCCTTGTTACAGTTTTCAAACCAGTTGTTGACGTCTTCATTTGAAAAAGCATTTGGCCTAAAAACAATTTGGCCTAATGGTTAGTGCACTGGAAATCTAGATTGAGCTGTGTAGGTTCAAGTCCTGGCCAGGTGAAAGACACTTTTAAGTACTTTCATGGTACCTCTCTCTACCCGGGTGTATAAATGGAGACTGGTGAGTTAAGTGCTGGGGAATATCCTCCAATGGACTTGCATCCCATCAAGGGGGGAGTAGAAAAACTTCCTGTCATTACACTAGGCTCGAATGTAGACCTAACTTTTTTACTGCACAGTTACATGTATATGTAGGTGGAATGCTTGTACGTGACTGGTTTTTATTGTTCATTTTAGACAACTTTAGTTGCTATTTAAGAATTTTCTGTTTACATCTCATTTTCTCAGTGAACTTTTTCTCACAATTGGAATACACGAGAACATGACATTAATGGTAAGTTGTTTAATTCATTGACTCAAGTGCATAGCTTATAGTCTTCTTATATGCTACTCATTTCTTCAATCCTCTACAAACTGTTAGCATTCCAACATATCTTTAATAATAAATTGAAAGCTGTAGATGAGATAAAGATACTGTTCTTTTGTGGAGACCATTATTTCAAAGCACTATAAACTCTGTAACAACTGTGAAAACTTTATTCATATAATCTCTTCCTCTATAATACAGACTCTTAGGTCTGCCCTTTGGTGTCTATATTAAAGATGTTTGACTATTATTCTTAATAATGTTTTTCAGGGGGTTAGAAATGCCAGAAGTCTTACTCCTAGTCCAGTACCCAGTCCTACTCGAACAACGTTCACGTAAGTGGAGTACAAATACATAGTTACTTTAGACAACATGTTATTTTGAGGACTTGCATTTGCCCACCCCTATCTCCATTTTCATGGTGAGTAATTTTGGCAGTGCTTCTCTTGGCAGACGGAGAAGTCTTAGTCCTGTTTATTTTCGACCAAGTACCTTAGCAGTGAAAAGAAAATGTAAGTACACACTTTTAGTTTTAAAAATAAATGTACAAAAAATAGAAATTATTAAAAGCAACTTCTAGCTACTAGTCTAATTCCTTTCAGTACCTTAATTTCTAGCTCCCTGTTTTAAGAACGAGCTTTAAGTCACGAATTATTTGAAAAGCTGGTGTCCAAAATGTGCTATAGGGCCTGCTCAAATGAACAATAAGACAACACATGAAAAATAAAACTCGACAATTTTCTTTAAAAAGTGCCATCCACAGGACACCAGACAACCCCTCTAGCTAAGAGCCTGTTTAAGTAGAGTGCAGTGTATTTATATACCATGTAATTTTCTGGCTTGTGTATTTTGATGATCTGATAGCTGATGATGTAAATCCATTTACCATAATAATTGTTATAAATTAATAGCATGTAAATGTGAGTTTCTGCCTGAAGCCTTCTCTGACCTTTTTACGTTGAGTCATTTGGTCAAAGTTGGTAATAAACTACTAACACTGCATGGTGTTTAATATGACTGTGCCTACTAAAGTTATAAGCCTTTGCTTGGAGAAAAGTTGCTGAAAAGTCTGTATTAGGAAGTGTTGTATTGAGTGTGAAGTAACTTTTCTCAAACTCATTAATAATTCATCAAGTTTAAACAAAGGAAATCATGACCGTAATGGTGTTTGGATATCTGATCTTAATTAGCATAGATTTTTATGATTTTAATTCTCCATTTTCTCCTTAGTTTTAGTTTCGATTGAGAAGATATATCAAACACTGTCTTTCGTGTTTGATATATTACGTTAAACACAAAAGCCCATGGATGTTTGACCACATTTTCTTAACATCGAGAAGAGACTTGAAAACATAACGGGCAGCAGAGTATTTTTGACGAACATCAAGGTGTTTGGAAGTGTAGTTAAACACTGTCTTGAGTGTTTGATACATTTTCTTGATTGAAAATAAAACTACATGTAAGGAGAAAATGGAGTTCTAAATAAAATCTGAAAATCTAATATGCTAATGAAGATCAGATATCCAAACACCATCACGGTCATGATTTTCTTTGTTTAAATGTAACAAATTATTAAATGAGTTTGAGAAGTAAAGTGGGGCAATTTTTGAGTAAAGAATACTCTGCTTCAACTTTTCAGGTCCATCAGAAGGTTTTGAGCCAGGTGTCAGTCCATCAAAGCGTCTCTGTGATGTTTCACCCCTAAACTGTTCATCTGACATTCCATGCGAATCAGTTCACCTTAATTTTGATGATGACAATCACTTACATGAAGATCCTCATAGCTCCTCAGCATCTGATTCATCTTCATCATCATCATTATCTGCCACTCCCATGCTCCTTGGCGAAATACAAAGACATCCTTTGCCTATTTATCGATCAAAATTTACCCCACCAAGGTCACCTCTGGCTGGTCCATCCACAACACAAAGTCATCCCAGGAGTATAGGAACCTCCGCATCATGTTTCACATTTGCTCCTGTCAAAGATTGATGAGTGCTCATACCGAAAGGTATATATCAAATGTTATTTATTTTACTAGAAGTGTTGGTTAGTGCAGATCGAGCAGACCAGGTTCAAGCCTTGGCTGGAGACATTGTGTTGTGTTCTTGGCCAGGACACTTTACTTTCACAGTGCCTCTCTACACCCAAGGGTATAAAAGGTTACCGACACATTTACCGCTGGACATAGATAATTCTGCTGTGGACTAGTACCCACTTCATCCTGGGAAGTGGAAAATACTCTTAGGCACTTCATATATCTAGTATGTTTTTCATTTTAATGTATAAGGAACAATTTTTAGTTTTCAGCTATATAACTAATATTAATTAATAGCCACTCAGCTGTGTTCTATTCTGATTCTCTCATCATTTTCCATTGGCTGATAGACAACAATCATGTGTGCACTGCTCTTGAAACTGAGGATTATTCTTAAGTTTGGATGTTAAAATACACATAATTGTAGGCTTTTTGTGTTACGAAAGCAATTAGACTACTTGCCCTTGTTTTCTATGAGCAATAGTCAACTCGACTACATCTTGTTGACTATTCTTTCATAACATACTCAGGCCCGTAATCTTATTGTTGAAAGTAGTGGAAAACGCATTTCATCATGCAAATGACTCTTGTGCTTTTATTAACTTCAAATTAATAACATGCATTATACAGATTTCCAGGAAATCAGCATACTTAACTTGTAATTTTATTACCTTTACAGGTTTATTTTTCTATTTCAGACAATTTACAGACAGTATTTTAGAACTTTATACCAGACAAAATGATATAATCATTTTGATAATGGCATTAGATATATATTAGGGAGATTTGCCATGTTGTACATATACATAAAGTTACTGAGCCATTTAGGTAGTAACACCTAGTTCTGTATTGCTTTCATACTTATAGTGAACTTAGAAAAGGAAAAAAAAAACAAATCAACCATGAATGGAATTACATTTGAATTAGTTTTTTCTCTCAGTCTTATTTGCACCACTAGTTAACCAAAACTTAACAACTTGCTGTAATTAGTTTTTAGTTTTTGTTGCATTGAATATGAAAAGCAAACATTTAAGGTCAATATGCTACTGAGGACCTAAAAATGTTTTGAGCGGACATCTGATCTTTTAAAACTAAACAAAATTATTAAGCAAACAAGCAAACACTCTTTAGAACAGAAAGTGTCCTCATAGGAGAGATGGTCACCTCTGGAAGATAAAATGTTTGTCTCAATGTGGCCACGATGATAACTTACAATTTAGTGTTTCCAAGTTGAGAGATGTCTGCCTGTAAGTGTATATGGTTGTCGGATCATTGATTTCATGTGATATTCATTTGTATTGATGTCATTTCTTTTTTCTGTGACCATTACTACCCTCTATATGTTGGTTCCATTCTGTGGTACTCTACAAGTGGCATATTTCATGTTTCCAGTTACTTTGCCACTTTGCTCTCTCCCAAAAACTTCCCCTTCTCAGCAAGCGCAGGGGTTATAAGGCGAGCAATAACAAAATTTTGCAACTCTGATGAAGGTGGACAGAGGCCACCGAAAATTCAGTAAAGAAAGATCATAGATTGGATTATGAAGAAGTGTATTATAAGAGAAGGCCCTGCTATCAGTACATTAAACTAAAGTTATTAACTTTAGTTTGGTTACAAAACTTTCACTAAGTGCAAAGAACATTAAGTTAACATACTGTAGGAGACTTGAGTTTTTTACCAATTTATCTGTTTCCCTTGTTGTTGGGTGGTAATGGTCACAAGGGATTTTGGTCTTGTCATGTGGTGGTCATCACTACATGATCTCCAAATATCTACATGTACTGGTAAGAGACAATGTTGTGTTTGACCATCAAGTGACGTTATCAGTCATGCCAGAAAAAAATATTATATCAATTGTAGATACATGGACATTTTTGAAAGTGGCTGTAGTTATTTATTTATCATTTTGTAGGCAGAGGTATAAAATTAACATAAATTGAGTAGTTTTCATTAAAAATATAGTTATAGTTTTATTATTTGGCTGCAAATAATTAGCTTGCTATAGCTGGACAGGAAAACAGAAAGCAGAAGACAAATCCTTTGTGAATTTCTTGCCCAAAAAAGTTTGGCAGACCAGTCTGTCTGAACCCAATCCTTGAATCATGGTTTACAGATTTTTGTAGTTTCCAAACACCCACATGTTTGCAACATTATGTAACAGATAATATATTTCTTTTTATGCTGTGCTAAAATTTAAGGTTTTATAATTTAAATGAAACAATTTGAATAATGTGTAGTCAATGCGTCTAACATATAATTTTATTATAACTTCCGGCATGACCAGGGGCTCAGTAAACTATTTTAAATTTACTAAAACTACTAAAAAAAAGTTTGGTTCTTTTTCTTACTTTTCTGTTGATTAATTAATCCTTGAAACATGCATAATTGAGCACTATGTCTGGATCATATGATTTTAGGAGGACCAATTTGAAAAAGTGCTCAGTTTCAATCAGGAGAAAACAACTATTTAATAATAATTTTTGTTGGACGTCCCTTCTTTGAAAGCATTTGTTGTTACATAAAGTACATTGGAAACAGCATCAAACTTGATAGAAACCAACATACAAACTGAGTAGTACCCACAAAATCTGTGAAACACTGTGCAAAGGAAGGTTGTTTTCCCAATGTTTTTCTGTTTGACCTTGTTCCTCAAAACTGCCATTTGTCAATCAGTAGATTGCTGGACAGGTGGAACTAATCAGATTGTTAAGTTTTTAACGGTTACACTAAAATCCATTGGGGAAAAGTTGTTGAAACATGATCCTGATAAATTGCACACAGGATGTTTGGATTTGTAAATCCTTGTTTGGAACTAACAGCTCTAAGATGCTTTCTCAAGGCATTGATGGGAGACTGTTAAATGCCTTTTTGTTGTGTTGTATATGTATCATGGAATTCTTGAGTCAGTCAGTGGGTTGAAACTGTTGAAAACTGGTAGTAGTCTAATAAAATATTGTATTTCAGTAACTGTAGATCAGTTAATTTGCCAGTGTCTTAATGTACCTGTATTGTTTTAGTCTGCTAAAAGAGTACTACTAAGAGTAGCTTGTTAGCCAGATTTCAAATCATTTGGGGTTCCTCAGGTGTGAATAGCATCAGTGCGAGTGGGAAGCCATATTAAGAGGACAGGGGTGCTCCTCGTACCTTTTAGGAGTAAAACAAGTGGATTTGGTACCTCTTAGGGTACGTGTTTAGGCTCAAAAGGTCCACAGTGGGAACTTTGTTGGTACCTTTTAGGGTATTGAGCAGAAAGAATATGACAGGAGATAGTGTGTTGTTTTAGAATTAGTACCTCATACAGGCTCACAGGGGTGACAAACATTTCAAGCCACGCCCACAAAACAGATTTTTGGTACCTCTTAGGGTTTTTTTTCAAAATTTCCAAGGAGCAACCCTGTCCTTTTTAAATGGGGGTCCCCCCAGGTGGGAAAGCATATGCCCTAGTGGTCATTGACAGTGAGTGATCCCAATTCAAGTTTTCCTGGTTTGAACTCTGGCTGGGTGCACTGTGTTGTGTGTGTGGGAAAAAGACTCTTGCAGTTACATGTACTCACTCTAGTTAAAGTACTTGTCATGGAAACATGGCAAAATGCTGGGTGACTGTTTTTGCATATGCCTTCAATGGTTATTTTTAAAGTTATTACTCTTAAAAAATGTTTTGTTGCGTAAATAGTTATGGTAGTAGGGTCAGTTTTTAGAGATGATTTCCAGTCCATACTGCATAGTCTCAGCACCATAATTTATAAACATAAAAAAACCTCACTTGTTGGAAATTATGTGAATCAATGTTATTCGTTATGATCCACATACTTTATCTTTGAGGCCTTTCAAATTCTTTTTCCAACTGTTTCATTGATTTTTACAGCTGCAAAGTTGTTTCATCAA